GAGGAAGAGCTGGCCTGTGTCGCCTTGGGCAAGCTCATGACATGCCAAGTAGAGCTTCCTAAAGTTGCTTTCTTTGACTGCAGCTCCCACAATTCTCCCAACCTGCATAACCTTTGGTCAGAATCCTACAATGTCAGAATGAGGTCACAATCTGGTCTGTATCTCTGCAAACTGAGAGGCAGTTAACAGTCAGGCTGAGCATTCATCTGTTCATGATGGATCTTCCTGTTAGGTCAAGATGAGGGTTGAAGGTGGGCTTCATGACCTGTTTACAGCTGTGGTGTCATAGTGGATAATGTGTCAGGCAAGAATTCAGGATGCCTTGAGTGAGGAACCTAGAGGAGTGGATAGGAACTTAAAATATAACTTTATACTGAAAAGATTCAAGGCCCCCTTGTACTAATAATCAGCTACCCATTTTCTTTAAGGATGCTCCTGAAATTATTAATACCTGAATGTCAATTAAGCTATTGATAGGCAAAATATGTCCTGGGACTTAGGTTTTCATACTTCAGGTAACGAGTGATCCTCAGGGTTTGGGATCTGTGTCTTTGCTTTTCTACTGGAAGCAGGATTTCGGGTCACGCTATAAACTCCCTCCTCAAGATACATTTTAACTCTCTCATTTGCTTTAGCTGTCCTTCACTTCACCCCCCTACAGGCTCTTCTTGACTGGCTCTCCTTCTGCATTCTTACAGCCCATCATTTTCTTTCTGTTGTTGCTAGGTAGAACTGGTGAGCGTTCCGTCACACCAATCTCTATTGCTGCCCAGGTGTAAAGAAAGCTGTTACTTGAATGTTATGGATGTAGATTCCCATATAGCTGGGCTGCAGGCCTAGCTAGTAAGCAAGACCCTCCCTTCCTTCAAGACTTGCATGAATATGTTTGAAAGCCAGCTTCAGTTTGACCAAAGTGGCAAAAAAGTGTTCATTATACCAGTTATTTGCCAGATAGAATGGACACCAATGCTTAAAAATCACTTAAGCCTCAAATTAGCATCTAGTCTCACAGCCAGGTAAAATATTTACTTCATCATGACCATGGAGAGCCCTAAATGACCCAACTGCTCCACCCAGCAACTCTGCAGGGTCACCAGCTTGTCTGGTCTGCAGAAGACTGAATAAACATTAATTGCACTGGCCCCTGCTATTCCTGCAAATTTTTCCAGCAATGTCTGGACAAGGGCCAGTGATAGCTACCTCTTATCTGCTGGTGTGCTTTCAGTCCATGCCTCCTGCAGTCTTAGGATCCCAATGAATTTTCTGTCACATGGTGTGGTTGCTCTGAAGGGTTACAATCCATCAACAATGACATTGCTAAAAACCTTGATTTCTCAGTCAGTGGCAAAAAGACACATTCTGGCAGTACACTATGCAACACAATAGAACTATTTTAGGTTTTACTTCTTTGTTTGTTCTGTAGCAGTTTTGACCTTCTCATAGCTCACTGCAGATAGTATGTTAAAAAAAAACATGGCCACCTTGGTTCCTTTGCTATCCCTGTTAGATCAACTGATGCTCTCCTCAAGCCAGCACCTCAGGTGACCATCCAGCTTGTCCACCCTTAAGGCCAAACATTGCAACTAATCCCATGCAATTAACTGATCTAATCTAACTGGAATAAACAACTAGAAGTGGACCTAACCACTACCATTACAGTGAGGTGAGAAATGAATGCTCCATTGTTTCCTTCTATAGTTGATTGTATTTCTATGCTTTCAGTGCAATGATATTTTTGGCCTAATTTATCTAACAACTTTTTTTTGTTTCTTCAGATGATCTAACTATATGTGAAACTGAAAATGCTTCCCCAAATCCCCAATCCATTCTTTATTGTTCCTGCAGCTACAGAGGCAGTTTCAGGAGCTGCTGTTGATCTCTCATGCCTCTCTTCATCCCCACTTCTGTCTTCTTAAGATTAGAGCCCTAAATAGTAATTTGGCACCTGGGGCAAGTGGTACCATTTTCCCATCCACTCTAAGACAAGACTCCCTCCCAAGAAAAAGAAGGTGAATATGGTGCCACCTCAGAAAAGAAGATGGAAATGTATGCTTTAAAAAAAAAACTAAAGAAAAAAGAAAAAGGAATTGGGCTAGAAGGTCTTACCATTTATTTACCTAATATTCCCCACTAGATTCAACTTCAGATTTTGGCACTCTCTAAATGTAGTGCCCTGCTCTACTTATGGCCCTGCCTACATTTGTGTGGTCAGCTGCATCCCATTCCCTGAGATTTCTGTACCACAATCTGAGACTGGCAGGCAGGTCTCTCACCGGGGATAATGTCACAGAATTGGTGACAGGGCAGATGAGGATTGGGAGTGGGTTGGAACTGCTTTGGGCCAGCTGATTGTGGAAAGTGACAAACCTGAACTGCAGAAACTTGGCAAAACCCACCCAACCAGATAATGTGACACTCCAGAGTTGGAGGCAACAACATTATTGGTGAAAGTGCAGGTAGCATGATGTGCCCAGTAGCTGTAGCAGTTGCTACATGCCATTGTGGTTTTACCTATAACATACATGACACATGGGGAGTTCTTACGGGCCCTATACTGTTGCTGGGACTTGAGGAAGACTCATCACACTGGTATTTTAGTGTAATTACAGGTTAGCCTTTGGGGGAAAGGAAATAATTACAAATAGCAAATTATTTATACCCAGTTGCTTCCAAAATCTGAGAATGCTTCTAAGGCAATCTACCAGGCATTCAGGGAATGAAATTTCTTCTGGAGAGCAGATAAACCTCAGGTAACTATGGAAAACTGTGTTCTGGTGAAAGTTTTGGTAGCATTCCACACTCTTAGGATGAAGGCAGGTGTGAGAGGAGAAGAAGGAGACAGATGGGGCCAAGGCATTCTGCCTCCCATTGAAACTACAATAGCAGCTATCACAGATATGGGAATGGAATGAAGAGGGAGAGAGGGAAGGAGTTTTTTCCTCCACTAACATAGAATCCGAAGACGATATCCTTGTTCTCATATTGAAGGGGCACATTGTAAGCCACATTCACTCTGACCCTAAAATATATAGTTTGGAAAAAGTGTTTGCACTATCTTTCCCTGACCCTTCCCCCATACTACTGAGTGATTTCTCGACTTCTATTACCAATCAAGTAGCCGAATTCCTCCTCATTGTTACAAAGACCTCCCCCCTCCCCATATCCCCACAAATTTTCTCGAACCTAACCTACTGTAATCCCTAGCCTGCTCCCCCCTCTACCTGGAACTGGAATGTAACTACGCTGTGCACACACTTGTATTTTATAATGCCAATAAAGGTTTATAGATGATGATGATGATGATGATGATGTAAAAAAATGTACCAGCCTCTGTGACATGAGGACTGAGTTGATTTTCACTATATAAAAAATGTGTGTGTGTGTGTGTGTATCAAAATGCACTCTCCTTTATTTTGTTTACTTTTTTAACAGATTTAATAGAGACTGGTCAATTCGCTGGTGAATACCCATGGATTTATGATTCTTTGATATTAAGGTAGGCAACTGATGTGATAGCTCTAGATTGGCAACATATGGAATAACCTTGTGGTGTAGTGGACAGACCAGGGCTTGGGAGACCTGAGAGTGCAAATCCTTATTTGGCCATGGAAACTTGCTAGGGGAGTGGAACTAGTAAAACCACTCCCCAAATATCTCAGTTATCTTGAAAGTCCTGTTGGGGTTGTTATAAAACTATTCTGATTTGATAACATGATAGTTTCAGAATGAGGAATATGTAGCTCTCTAGATATTGCTAGACTGCACCTTCCCATCAGCCTGTGGTGGGAGCTGCAGCAAAACAATATCTGTAAACCCACATGCTCCCCACCAAGGCACAGCTGCCTGCCAGTAAATAATATTAAATAAAAGACTTTTCATTTTCTGCTTTTAAATGCAAAAGGATTTAACAGGAATCGTATTTTTGTGGGACGGATTATCTTCAAAACTAACACCACAAAACCTAACACTACAGTGTTTGAACCTACATGTTGTAGCTGCTGACGCAAGGAAATGAGCCATAAAATACCCAATTTGTGATAGCAGGCTCTTGGGAAGAGCCATTGAGTAAATGAAGAAACTCCCATCATATGAAAGGGAAAAAAAATCAATGAAATGTGTATCTGTAGTGGTTTTCTCTGACGCAACAGTTTGATATTTTGATTGGCAAAGAAATATTCTCTGTAGTCACTAGGTTTCATCTAATACAAGTTGTTCTATGGCTTAGACATAGTAGAATGTTACTTGACCACAGGCTGCACAGTGCCTGGATGGGAACAAGGGTAGTTAACTACAGTTCAGAAATGTAAATATTCATTTTGATGTAGCAAACTTCAGAGACATGAGTTCAAGGAAAGTATATTTTCCATTCTTAAGAAAATGCACTTACCCTATCAATGCCGTGCCCAAATTTCAGTTAATTGTGACTAATTCTCATTGAAACTAAAGACTAGATGAACCATAATTAGCTCATCATAATTTTATTGCTTTTACCAGGACTACAAGTTGCTTTAAATGGAGAGAGCCTAAAATAGGAGCAGTGAGTTTCATGTAGATTTCATTCAAATACATGCAAGTGAACAAAAAATATTCATACAAAAAGATACAGTCAACCTTTCTTGTCACCTATTGTTATAACTTGGAAATGTTTAGTTTTAGGAAAGGAATATTAATCATGGTGTAGTTAACTGATGTCATGATTATCTTGAGAGTTGGTATCTGGTAAAACAGTTAATTTGGAGACCTGCATGGAGCTGAGACAGGTTCTGTGCCTCAATGCACTCATTTCAAGGCCATTTGTGCATCCATATGCATGATTTCTTCTGATGATTGAGTTTCTTAGGGATGCATCCCTTTCATCAGTATAAGACACTGTGCAGGAATCGATTTGAACACAGCAGGCCATGCACCAGAGATGAAATTCTGGCACAAAACCCCCTCTAGGCTCTCTTAAAAGTCTGGGACTAAGTCCTCCATGCTCCTATTAGATGTATGACAGGCTTTCCTTCTGAAGTAAACATTCTCTGTGGTGTGCTCACCAAGTCAATTAAAAACAAAGGAAAAGGAAAAGGAAAGGAAAATTCCAGCTTGCTTTGAGAATGGCTGGAGAGTGCTGAGAGCATGTTGTCAGGATGACAGCATGAGAAGTGGAGGGTATTAAAAGCATTCTAAGGCAAGTGTGCTGGGGCCAAAGGGACAAATTTAGATTTACCAGATGGTGGCAAAAGTGAAAGAAAATACAATGGTGGTGGTGGTGGGAGAAGAGAGGAGGAAGGCCTGGAAAAACAATTCCCTCCCAAAGTTATCTTCAGGATCTTAAAATGCACTAAAAAAATAATAATCCAGAGTTCCAGGGGAAGATCACTCTTGTACTAACACATTTCCAAACAGTTATACATTTGGGCACAAAGTATCTCATCAACATACACAACACACAAATATGTAATGGAAGTGCTAGGGCATCTCCCCTCTGTAAGGCTGCAATCTTATATATAAAAGTGATGGATGGCACTGGCATTCACCTTTTCTTGGGCACAGCCTATCACAATGTTTGGAACACTGTGGCTGTGGGTTAAAAAGCACCATAACTGTTTTTAAAAAAGGGTGGTCAGGGAAGACATGCCCTGACAGAGCACAAAAAATACACAGCACTAAACTTAGTAGAGCTTTGTTATTTCCCTTAGGAGTCATGATGTGAGTTCCAGAGAACATAAATAAAATAGGGCATAGGAGCCCCAGGCAGGAAGTGATTTTGGGATTAACACAAATGGGTGGAAAACACAGTTTCTTACTTTTGTTTACAGAAGCTTCATATTCATTCATGTTTCCTTCTTTTATTTGCTGTTTTCTTAATTTTCCATCTAACAAATTGCCTAGGAAATATTTTATTAAATAACATCATAAGGGTTGTTGTTAGCAGCCAATCAGAATGTGGGGGGGGGGATTAAGAAGAGAGAATTTTAAGTTGTAGAAGGGCCTGGATTGCCTAGAACCCAGTAAAGAATGTTCTTTGCTTCAGTCTTTCCTTATGAGGGCGATCTGTGTGCTGCTGAGCTCTGTGATGCCCGCCTTTTGATTGTGCTGTCTGTCTGTCCCAATGAATCCCTTTTGCCATTTTAACAAATTTTGTTGGGGGACTTCCCTCCTCATTTCATAGGATAATATTTACTGTCACTGCCAAACAGTCTGCCTCTGGTGCCAGCATGCCTCCTTGGGGTTATTATTTTCTCCCCTACCCTGGATTTCTTAGGTATTTCCCCTCTATTTTTCCTTCTTTCATTGGATTATTTTTGCTGCCTGCTATTATCTACTGCTGGTGGGCTCAAGGAATTAAAAATAAGATATAAATGGTAAAGAAAAGATATATCTCTCCATATTCTAATCATATTCTGATGTTGGAGCCATTAGCAACTCTTTTCAGGCATTAAAGTCTCTCCCTCCATCCCAAGAACCCTAAAACCATCCCCAGTTTGAAAGGAATACTTAGGAAACCTTAGAACCTTTTGTGTGTGTGTGCGCGCGCGCGCACGTGCGTGCGTGCGTGCGTGCGTGTGTGCGTGCATGTTCTAGCGGACAACAGGTATCCTTTACTCTTCTAAGGATCCTGTCTACTTCATCAGGCTGCAGAAACTGAAAATTATCCATGAACGCAGGACAAGCAGGAACCACAGTTACATCTTTAGTGTTTGTAGGCATCCTTCAGTCTTGAGAGACTATGGTAACGTGCTCTGTATGGAGGACTTGGAACAGCATCTAGTGTGGCCGAGAAGGCCAATTCGAGAGTAACAATCCCTTCCATACGGAAGACAAATACAATCTGTCCCCTGTCCAGCTCCCTGATTTTGCTGCTTTCAGGACTGCCTCTTGACCTCAGCCTGCTGGACAAGGGTCTCTTCCAATTGGGAGAGGCCATGATGCACCACCTGCCTCCAGGCTGAATGCTCAGATGTCAAGGTTTCCATCTGTTGTGGTCCATTCCTACGGCCATCAGATCCCACTTGCAGATATCCTTGTATTGGAGCTGTGGTCTCGCTCTGGGGCAATTTCTCTGCAGTAATTCTCCATACAGTAGATCTTTTGGAATCCAACCAGCAAACCTTTGATTAAAGATTAAAGTCTGTGACTGATGACATCATCACCCTTATACATGTGGAGTTACACAAACAGGATTCTGGCAAGTATAGGTTAAATAATAAAATTGTTCCCATACTGTATATAAAGTAAACTACATGCAGATGTCCTGCTGTTGGTGTGGGTACTGGAATACCTTTTCCTTGGGAATAAATGTGAATTTTGTTTCTGTTTGACAGGTTCATCTATCCAGATCCAGGACTTCCAGTGTTTGGCTCTTAAATATCTGGATTGGAATCCATGTGAGCTTCTCATCTTTAAAATATACAGAAGGGAGGTACAATACGATCATTTCCATGCTGGGAATAGCTGGAACTATGTAATTTGACTAGTATAAATGGGAAGGATTATTTTTTTCCAGATTCTTTTTGAAGAATTTACCATAAACCAAACATTTCCTTATATCTGGAATACAAAAAACAAACAAACTTGAGCTTGAGAACATTTGACTGTAGTAGAAAGCAAACCTCATATCTGTCACAAACCACACTAATTCTTGTTTCTGAAATTCATTGTGATCTGTATGTTAGAACTTCCATGACTACAAGTCTGTATAAGATACACTTCAGCTCAAATTCTGCCCAAGAAACAGATATACGTATTTTAAAAGAAAAATCTGGTTACAACAGCTGAGAATGGTGCATAAGTCATGGGTGTTCTTGTCTAGTTTTTAGACATGTTTGAGTGAAAGAGAACATTTATTTTTCTCTTCCACTCAAGGAACATGCTTGTGGATTTTGCATTAAGGCAAAACAGAGAATTCTTATTTCAACAGGGATTAATAACCACACAAAATAATAGACTGCCATGTGTATATTATTTACATGACATAGTACTTCCCATTGGGACTTCTATCACAGAAAACATACAGAACAAGTGCTAACAAAATATTGTAGGGAAAAACACAGGGAACCAAAGAATAATAATTTCTAAAGCCAAGAAGATATTTCTTTCTTTGTGTCAGAAGCACCACAGTTCAAGTAACGATATCAGATGGTTTTAATTCAATAACGGGTAACATCCAGAGTATTCAGAGTTGATAACACCAAGTGTTTCATGGTACTGAGGGACACAGAATATATTGACATAGCTGTGGGGATGGCTGTTTTTTTTTCTACAGTAACAAAGGACTGTGACAGTGCCAAACCCTTATTTCCTTAGGTTTACTTCGGCCCGGCCAACTCCACTCTGTATCGATCAATGACTTCCAAGTAACCCAGTTTTCCATGTGAACAGACAGGGCTGGACTTCCCTGGGATTTCATTCATTTGAAAAGGTGGGTAGCGCTTTTTTGCCACATTATACTCCTGACATTCTTTGCTGTTCCTTCAGAATTCACAGATGTTCTGAAAAAAAGTTGTGGAGTGGGATGGTAACTGAAAAAAAAAAACCCTGAGAGGTGTTGGACAGTAGCCAAAAGGTGGATGCATATTTGATGTAGATGCTTCAAGTCTTTTACTAATCATTGTTACTTCTCTGAATATATCACTGGGTGCAATGCCTACTAAGTAATTGATTTTATCAATAGGGTTTGGCTTCAGGCATTCTAGTTTTTGGTGAGTGCTACATCTACCTGTTTTGCAAGGGTTGACCTAAACCATACTGGGCTGGGATATTGTCCTGTGGACTAGCATATGACCTAAGCTGAAGATCTTAGAATTTGTGATTGTGTGACCCAACTGGTTCTCAATAACTTTCAAAAGTATTGTTCCTTATAGAGACCTCTTGCTTTGTATTTTGACTATTTCTTATAGATACGTACAGTATGTGATTCAAAGTAACACTTATGTCTTATCTAGGGGGTAAAACAATGATCAAGTTGGATGCCCTTCCATCTAACTTAAAGTTTCCAAGATGCCTGCTTTCTTCTCAGATAGAATGCACCTTCAGGGATTATAAAGTGGACACTTCCCTGTGAATTTGTTGTTTCTATGTGCTTGGGGAGCATTTTATAGGGTTTTCAAGTAAAAAATGAATTGGCAAATCAATTCATCAGAAAAAAATCATAAATTCATAATTTGTGATTTGTCAACCTTGATGAACCATGAATCAAAACGAACCACCATTTTTCTGATTCATGCCCATCTCTAATTTGCAGTAGATCAGGAACAATTTCTGAATTCCAGTTATTTAATGCCAGCATAAAAAAGAATTCCCCCTGCCTCTGTGAGGCAATGGATATATCTGTGGTGCATTATGTTATGTGTAGACTAGTGTTTATGTATGTGTGCCATCCTGTGTGGGTGAATACTGGATTTTAAAATTAAATGATTTCACTTCCTGAACCACCGTGTTGAACCTGAGCTGGCATTTAACAGCCAGCTCCATAGCTGCTGAAAGTTTGGATTCTAGTAAATAAGAACAACATGGCTATGAGGCTGCCATATCATACAGAAGCTACTGAACTCATGACTACACATTGGTATGTGACTGGTATTTCTATGTGCTTTGAGAGAAAAAGCATAAGACATTTTACCATTCTTCACAAGGCTCAGACTAGACTGTTAAATCTTTTTCATGAAAAAATGCTTACATTTATATGCATCACAGTCAAACAAACCAAGAGAATCAAACTAAGAATATTGCTTGTAAGAGGTCAAAGGAGGAACATTTCTGCAATTCCTGTATATTAATTTCCAAAGATTTAAAACATTTTATTTAGAAGCATTGCTGAGCTCCCTAACATTTACCTGCATCTCTTTGAATAACCTGTGATATTGTGGAGACTGATTTATTCCCCTTTTCAATCATATGCTCTCATTGTTAGTCACTGTTAGTAGCCCAGTAGTGGTATTCTGGAAATAAGGTTGATTGGTGAGGCTGCAAACTGACAAGCAGAATTGTTCTGGGTGGTCTGTGATCTGATCAGTTCTGGCCCTTCAAGGCCTCATTTTGAGTTCATTAGTGATCATGCAGCATTTTTAAGAGCAAAAATCAAGGCCATTTGTGTCAACCTTGATTCTACCAGCAGCCTAGCTGATCTGGGGGTGACCACTGCTGCCCCATCTCCTATTGCCAAGTTGTACTCCCCTCCAATTTAGGGACCAAGTGCATAATTTGGGCCTTCTTTTGGACCTGGGTCTTTCTTGGGAGTCCCAGATCAGCCTTTACCCAGCTTAGGCTAATTGCCCAACTTTGCCCCTACCTAGATGAGGACTCCCTCAGGACTTTGGTGCAGGTCCTGGTCATCTCTCAGATCGACTACTGCAATGCTCTTTACTTGAGGCTCCCCTTGAACCTCATCTGGAAACTTCAGTGAGTCCAGAATGTAGCAGCCAGATGGGTGGCTGGTGCAAGTAAATTTGACCACATCACTTCAGTTCTGGCTTGCCTCCACTGGTTGCCCATGACATCCCGAATCAGCGTCAAGGTTTTGACACTCACATACAAATCCCTCCACAGTTTGGGCCCATGTTACTTGTCAGAGCGTCTTTCCTTAATGTCACCTGGCCGACCCACAAGATCATCCCAGTCAAGGCTCCTATGGGGGGCCTCCCTGAGGGAGACCCATAAATCCTCTACAAGAGGGAGGGCCTTCTTTGCAGTGACTCCAACTTTATGGAACCAGCTTCTAGAGGAGTTCTGCCTAGCCCCTTACCTGTGGACTTTTAAGAAGCAATTAAAGACATTGCTTTTCAGAGAGGGTTTCCACCCCAACCCCAGCTGACCACCTTTCCCCTTTTTTCTTTCCCCTCCTCTTCTCCCTCCCCTCTTTTCCTCCATCTGCTCTGGGATTAGTCAATGCCATCTGGGTTCTTTAGGCTTATTGCTGTTGGTTTTAATGTCTCTATTTTTCTTTTTGTGTTCTATTTTACATGTTGTAACCTGCCCAGAGTACTGGTGTGATACTAATGGGAGCAGGATACAAATTGAATCCACCCTTATTTCCTTCCTTCCTTCTCATAGAAAAGCAGTCTCCCTTCATCAGCTTCTGGAATCATAAAAACACAGTGTCTCAGTCTTCAGCCAATCTATCCTGGAGTAAAAAAGAATCACTGGTATGCAAAGTCACTAAGACAGAAGGAAATCCACTTGGAAGGAGAGAAATATTTGCAAGTTTTCCTTCATTCCAGTCTGTGGTGCTTTGCAACATACCCTTTGCAAGTGTCTTATTCCCTCAGTGCAAGATCAATGACTGCATGATTAACAGAGCTTGAGGGATATGGATATCTGAAGATAATGGGAACTGGGAAAGGAATGTCATTCTGAACATTTGACAGAGGCATGAGCCTTATTTGTTGAGCCAATCTTTAGAAGGAAACATTCCTTGAACAAAAAAGATTTTTGTAAAAGCAGTCCCATCGAAGAGGCATTAATGTATTTTCAAAAACACTAGCATTCAAAATAAAATACTATAACGCTAAATGCATTGCTCATTGAGATATGCTAACAACAACAGCAACACAACCACAATAAACCCATATGACTCATATCCTTAAGTTTAGCAACCTACTTTCTTCTGGCCAAAGCAAGTGCCAGCTACTCTTAAGTATGCTGAAACTGCAGACATGAAATGATCAATTATCAACAGACAGCTGCACTTTTTTTTGTCTATGGCTAATTTTGCCCATAGTAGATACAGGTTTTAGCTAAAGAAATGATGTGGGTTCCAACTCCAGAGGAAAAGACTCTACATTTGCAGGGATACCACCTGTTCCTGGGTTCTCTTTTCTGTCGTATTCTAGTCCCTTCAAGAGTAATGCACTAAATAGCTGTAAAGAAGATGGAAGGACAAAATATATTCCTTGTGGAGTCTACACTGTCTAGCAGCTCATTTTTTTCCTCAGTTCAGTTGAATGCATAGAAAGAAATGAAATGAATATTGTTTCTCACTGAAAGGAGCAGAGCCTAAGCTTGATTAATTGCAAACTCCAATATTTGGTTTTATCTCAGAAACTATGCTAAAGTGTTCTTATAATTCTATAAAATGTTGCAGTACAATCATTACATTTTGTACTACCACCCAAACAGTGTACAGTGGTGCCTTGCTAGACGATGATAATCCGTTCCACTGAAATTGCTGTTTAGCAAAATCATTGTCTAGCAAAAAAGCATTTCCCCATTGAAATGCATTGAAACCTGTTTAATGTGTTCCAATGGGGAAGAATCGTTTTTATCTAGCGAAGATCGGCCATAGGAAAGCTGCTTTGCAAACTGCCGATCAGCTGTTTAAATAGCTGTCTTGCGAAGATGAGATCCCAAAAACACCTGTTTTGCGAGTGTGAAGGGAGCTGTCAAAATTGTTGTCTAGCGAAAATCGGTTTGCGAAGCAGTAACCAAACACTGTCCAGCGAAATTCCCCCATAGGAATCACTGTTTTGCAAATCACTATTGACTCGCAAAAAGTCAATGTCTAGTGAAAAAACGATCATGCGGGGTAACTGTCTAGCGAGGTGCCACTGTAACTGAGAGATCGAAGCAGAGTTCCTAGTTAACACCAGCAAATCCAGCAGCGATCTCCAGCAATGGCCTTTTTACTCAAAGCTTATGTCACATTTTGTAGTAGTTTTGTAAGACAAATCTGAACTTGTGGTTGTTGTGGGTTTTTTGGGCTCTTTGGCCGTGTTCTGAAGATTGTTCTTCCTAACATTTCGCCAGTCTCTGTGGCCGGCATCTTTAGAGGACAGCACTCTGTGCTCTGGTGAGCACAAACTTCATTTGTATCCTCATAATGAATAACTAGCATATTCAGTATAGGATGTTACTGATGTTACTGATTCCCAAAATCTAATTTAGTTCTTTTCACCTGGAACCTGTGTCAAAGTTTTGTATAGTTTTTGAGGATTTTACAATAGACAGACACAGGAAGTTCCCTAGCATGCTGAGAATACTAGCTAGTGGCAATATTCTCTAATTTAGTCCATCTTTTAAAGAATTTAGCAACATTTTGAAATTCATACATAAGACAGAAAGAACAAGCAGTGTTTCCTCTTTAGAGAAAATATATAAAATACTGTCTCAGACTTTGGACAGTAAATATGTCATTATTCTAACTTAATGATCACATTTATTTCTAACTTCCATGAAAGGAACAAGAGTGAATCCTATCCTGAAATTTAGTACTACAAAAGGTAACACATTTATTATAGTAAGTTAACAAATGTTATATATCTTCCAAGAATTTTATTCTCACATATTTTTGTTCTGTATTTATTATGACTAGTGACATTTTTAGAAGTTGTCTTAACATTTAATTTCCAAAATGTCAGGAAAATCCTAACTCAATTTGCTTTTCAATAAATGAATGGAATTTCCATTGTAATCTTCCTTGGGTCTTTTCCACCCTTCTCACATATTTACTTTGGTTTATATGCCACTAGGTTGTTACCCATCCATCCATCCATCCATCCATCCATCCATCCATCCATCCATCCATCCATCCATCCATCCATCCATCCATCCATCCATCCATCCATCCATTGTCAATTTCTTTGATCCCTAAGCTGTGGGTCCCACGTGGTGATAGAGGCAATGGCATAGTTCAGTAAAGGTCACCATTTGTGTGGAAGATTTGAAAGGAAAGATTAAATCCACAGCAGCTGAAATAGTATCATATTCAGGAATAGTAATATAACAGGAATAGCTCTTCTCCCTTGCATACAAAGTCTACTATATACTTGAGTCACATTCCTCACCCTGCAACAATACATTTGTCACAGAGCAAACTGGATGCCATTTCACAGCCTGCAGTTCCCCAGATATTTTGAGGTCTCCCTCAGAGAAAGCAAAAAAGGTAAAAGCAAAAGCCTCTTGCAACATGGATTTTCCCCAAAACGTTGAAAGATCATATAAAGGAAGATTGGTGCTACATGCACTGCCCTCACTCCCCACGTTCCACTAGCAGCTTCCTTGCATACCTAAGCAAAGTTTTCCATTTCCTTTTCACTGCACTATCTTTTTAAGTGGAGACTGGTTATACACATAAAGCTGGAGATTGAGGAGATTGAGGAGATTGAGAAGGATCCATTCCCCAGTGCATTGAGAGTTATCCATGGCCAGGCACTCAGTCTATCATCATCTTGTGCAGTTCTAATTCATCTAACTTTCCAAAAGACTAAAGGAAAGCTCTCTGGTTATTACTTGTTTTCTAATCATGAACTGAGATTGCTCATGATATGTTGCTTCAAGAACCAACAATATAAGAGTCTAAGGTTTCAAAAATAGACTACTACAATTTTCTCTATGTAGGGCTCACCACAGAAACTTCAGCAGGCCCAAAATGCAGCAGCCGATCTATCAGATTGGTAAATTCAGTCATAAACCCCCAGTCCTGGAGTGTCAGCACTGGCTCCCTGTGAGTTTCCATGGTCATTTCAAAGTTCTGGTTATGACAAGAGATAGGGGTGTTTGTATATGAATACGAATACCACACTCACACATCAGCTGCTGCTGCCAGCTCTGCTCTTTCTTCCATTTGCCCCAGAGCTTGTGATCAGCTATCCACTCATTAGCCTGGCAGAAAGACTCATTTTCCCCACTTCTGCCAGGAGTGGATAGTCACCCATCTCTAGTTATGACCTTTGAAGTCCTTGTCTCTCCCAAAAAATAGCTTCCCATGACACACCCTCCTCTCAATCCCCAATGTTAAAGTGCTTATCTTGAGGGAAGCTAGAATGATAACTACAAGGAGTCAGACATTATCAGTAATAGCTGCTACTTGGTGGACCGAACTGCTCATTGACATGCACCAGGCTCCATCCCTCCCAATATTCAAGAAATTATGCAAGACAGACTTGTATATGGCAGCCTTTAGGAACATCATATCCACAAATTATGTTAATTTTAATGTTTGATCTATAGGTTTCCTGTAGATTACTGAACTCAAGTCAGTTATACTACCATTTTGATTATGCTATTATGAGCATAAGGGTGATGGTGGTTGTGGAGTTTTGCTTGTTTGTAAACTGTCCAGAATAGTGTGATTTCACTAATAAGGCAATATTTAAATTGAAGAAACAAATAAATTGACCAACACATAAAGCCATGTTCCCCTACATATTATTCCTTTCAGCAACACCTTGGCAACAGTGAGGCTTGTTTTTTTCCTAGCTCTGGCTAGTTGTCCCCTCTATCCATTTGGGTTGCTTGCCCATTTCTTACACCTCATGGACATCACCTGTGAAAATCTTCTGACTAAACTACCATGCATAGAGCTGCCCACACACTCCAAAGCTAGCAAGTGCTAGGCTGAGCAATGAGGGACCAGTGGCAAAACACTGTAAGATAGCTGGTTGTGCCACACAGCCTGTTCTGTTAATCCCACCTACTCGCTCTGTGAAGTGGCAGACATCATCCTGTCACCAGTGCCCAGTCCAGGTCAGTTCTGTACAGAGAACAAATGAGTGCCATCTTGTCCCTCACCTCAGGCAGCAAAGGTTGTCCAGGCAAATGCTTAAGATGCATGGCTTTGAAAACAGAACAGGCAACTGGCTTTATTACATAGGCTGCAGATCAGACCTGCGCAAAGTTCAGCCCTCCAGATGTTTCTGAACTGCAAATCCCAACATTCCTCACTGTGTGGGCTAGGCCCAACTCTCCTCACTATTGGCTGTGTGGGCTAGGCCTAAATCTCCTCACTATTGGCTGTGTGGGCTAGGAATTATGGGAGTTGCAGTTCAGCAACATCTGGAGGGCTGCGTTTTGCCCACCCGTGCTGTAGATGCTGTTGAACTACAACATTCAGCATTCCATTGGCCATTCTGCATGAGGCTGATCATAGAATCCAGCATCATCTAGAAGAATACTGGTTCCTCAGTGCTGGCTTACAAACTTCAGCATATTGGGCACTCTCAGCTCTTATAGTGGCAGCGCTATTGCCTCTGGATTAGTTTCTCATGACATCCTACTGCCCCTCAATACACTTTATGTCAGGACCCACTGCCTGTAACTCACTAATGCATTCTTCATGCCCCTTGTGACACAACTGAATTATTTGATTGCTCCATCTTGGTAGCTGCCGAGTCCCTATGTTCATCTTGGGCACTTTTTGACCAGAAGGAGTTACTTTTGGGGATGATAACTCCAAGAACATCCCAGCTAGGTGTTGTGGGCATTGTAGTCCAAAACACAGAACTTTTTGAACCTCTGTGCTTGACTTCTTACAGTATCCTTTTTATAAAAAATGCATAAACCAAGAATGAATGTCCCTTTGATTTGCTTCTACAGCAAAATGCTACCTCCTACATAGGACCGCCTTAAGGATCCATCTTATGTACTTTAGTGGAAAAGCTAAATATATTTTTGTGACTCTTTGTTTAGTATGATGTTTCACAAGGCATATTATTTCAATCTCTATATATCACATGGGGAAAATAAGGATGTTGCTTTTTAAAATGTGGTTCCTTCTCCCAATCCC